ATAGATGGCGCACTAAGAGCCCAAATCCAGAAAACCGTGAATTTTGCTGTAGCACCCATTTGAAACAAAGTCGATCGTGAGACTTTCAACCATATTTCCAAATAGATTATATGCCAAAGTGTATTTGGTAAACGTTTGACGGTCTCCGATGCTTTCGTTTTCAATACAGACGCCTTGAAAGTTGCAATTTTGCCCAAAAATGACCATTTTGAGCGATTTTGAGAAATGATTTTCTCCATGGAAACGGGGCAATTCTGAAGCCTTCTAGTATACTGCTGAAGTACAACAAGTGTACTATCATAGTTAGATATGGGCGGGACCGATGATTTTTGGTCCCGGTTCCAGTCCCGGTCCCGTGCAGTTGTTTCGGTCCCGTCTCGGTCCCCGTCCCGTAAACTTGTTTCGGTCCCGGTTCCGGTCCCGTGCAGTTGTTTCGGTCCCGGTTCCGGTCCCAGTCCCGTAAAATTATTTCGGTTTCGATCCTGGTTATTTCGGTTTTTATGGTCCTGGCTCTTAAACCAATTACGCCCACACGGAAATAACACAGTATTAATCCCTGAAAATGCAAGGGTTTTCTAATCGACAGTTATCTGTTATTTGTCCGTTTATGGATGAGGTTATGCCGTTTGTTTCTTCTTCTGATTACATAAGCAAAATAACCGGCGCATGCCTGGTTACATAAGATTGATCACATTTATGGAACGTGATCATACACAAGATTGTTTTTTCTTTCCTTTTCTTACGTTACGTAGCAATGTTATTGCATCCCAATTTCAAAGAATGCAGGTATATACTTCGTCAAAAGCATCGCACACTATTATTCAGACATCTTTTTTGACTTTTCTAGTAATTGTTCTCAGTTGAAAGATAAAGCATACGCTTTATTAAAACAAGAATTTGAAAGAAGAAAATCACTTATTCCAATTCCGGCAAAATCACTTATGAAACCTACCACACCAAAACGAGAGAAAAAAAGTTTGATAGCCGATTGTTACGATACAACGTCAACAGATCTACAAGAGGAAACTGAATTAGATTTGTATTCGAAGTTGTGTGTCACACTTGATCCTGACAAAGATGATCTACTCGACTTTTGGGCCAAACAAAGACAGAACTATCCCATTCTGAGTGCAATTGCTTGTGATCTTCTAATTATCCCTGCTACCAATACAACCATTGAGCACAACCATAATCTATTTGATGACATATAAACTGCCTTTTAAATAAAAGTAGCTGCTTTTCTGGAATCTGAAACTGAGATTTTGGTGTTTTTAATAAAGTTTGCGTGACGTAGATGGAAAGTTAAACGCGTAGAAAAGCACTGTAAGACTCCCTGACGATTTTCTACAACATTTCTATTTAATTAGGGAGAACAGGTGAAGTTATAACTGAATTTACGCAATTGTCAAAAATAATCTTAGTTCTAGTGCCGGTCCCGATTTGGTCCCGGAAAAATAGTCTGTAGTTCCGTCCCGGTCCCGGTAAAATAACGTTTTTGGTCCCGGTTCCGGTGCCGGAAAAATAGTTTGTAGTTCCGTCCCGGTAAAATAATGTCTTTTGTCCCAGTTCCGGTCCCAGTCCCGTCGGGACCGGGACGGTCCCGCCCATGTCTAATCATAGTCCATTCTGCGATTTGCGGGTTTCGCTAAAATGGCTTAGGGGGCACCGAGTTCTAGAGGCTTGCTTCAATCAGTACATTGCTGCTATAGTATATTAAAATTTCAATTAAAAATCAGTTTGATATGCAACTTTTCACAAGAAATTCAACGGTAATACAACAACAAGTTAATTCTATTATTAACGCGGTTCTATGTGCGAGTTTCACCCAGAGTACTTCTAACAGGTTCACTTCTGATGAATTTTCATAGGCCAGTCAGTGGTTTTTGAATAACTGAAGAACGAAAAGCGATAGAGACTTCTGATTTTTGCGGTTTGATAGCCAAGACTTTAAATTATCTTTTTATAACTAAAATAAAGTTGAAAGTACTTCTCAGTGACCGGTTTTCGAGGAGATCTCTAGAAAACCGTTTTGTAACTCTAAGCGATAAAGTAGCAATAGATTGGTTTTTGTTGTGAGTAACTAGCCTAAACTGTTCTCTTCAAAATGGGAACCAAGCGAGACTTTGATTTTGAGTGATCTGACAGTGGTATCTGATTTCCATGGAGCACCAGGACTGGCACACAGTGGCTTCCAGTGACCTTGAAAGAGGCAGACTAACATAAAGTAAGATAAAATAAACGCTGCCATCAGATTTAGCATGCTCGACCATGTACTTATCTTCTTCTTTCAAGGTCACTGGAAGCCACTGTGTGCCAGTTACCACTGTTGCCAACGGTTTTCTAGAGATCTCCTAGAAAACCGGTCACTGAGAACTACTTTCAACTAAATATGGTTGAAAGTCTCACGATCGACTTTGTTTCAAATGGGTGCTACAGCAAAATTCACGGTTTTCTGGATTTGGGCTCTTAGTGCGCCATCTATTACAAAATAACGAAAGCATGTTTTGAGCTCGCGGTTGCGTGGATTTGTAGTAGACAGTATCTGCTACTTATGGTAACATCGCCAAGGTTAAGTAAGTCTTGGCAAATTTTTAAGATGGCGGAATCTACGTTTTTCAGGGCTTTTCGTAAAATATCAATATCTCAGCAACGATACAACTTTTTGATTTGCGCCTTTTACCAAAATTCCTTAAAATGTTTGGTCTACAAAAGCCCTCTACTTTGGAAAAGTTTCGAGAACATCGATTGAAGGCCACTCCGCTGTAATAGGTCGTGGCTTACGTGCAATGGCTCGTAAGAATTAATTTTAACAAGTATACATCCATCGTCGATTACAGGAAATAATCCTATCATTCTTGTCGCTGAATGATCCGTTTAGTGTGATTGGACGATGATCAATAGTCGTCTGTTTAATTTGTTTGTACACTTGATATTCCTCTAATTTTTTATATGTACGCCATAAATACATTAAATAAGACGCATCACTCGAGATTTTGAATTTCATAGTGAAAAAACGTTTAAAAGAACCATTAGCTGGTGTTTATAAACTCGAAACATACTCAATATATGTTATATTATTGAAATTATTGGTATTTTTCGAAAACGTTGCGACGCGGCAGCTGCGGTCATAAGATTAAAAAATTTAATTGAAATAATTTTCAATGATTATAAAATTGGGCAAAATTACAAGATGAACGTAAATGTGATTTTCAAAGATTAAATAATAAATCAATAAAATCTCTTCCTTGGATCTCTCCATCTTCTTTTCTGTATCGATGATTATTGTCTAAAAAAGCAAGTTTTCGACACATATTCACAGCCATGTTCCTCAGAGGCTAAAAGGGGTCCTTTTCTAAAAAATATATCAGCATCGTGTACAACTCGTGTACTTTAAACTAGTTCCGTTGACTGTAAGTCGATGGTCATACGAAAAAGTGAAAGTGTTTGTGTGTTTGTCCGTACACGGGTGTGACGGACGTACGTACACATAGTCGTGTGCGCTCTATATAAGATAAGAACGCTCTTATAAAGATGTCTGTTAAAGCAAACGAACACATTGAAAGTATATATATGCCGATGTATGTATCAACAATACAATCAAAGAAACCGAAATTATACAAAATAAAATAAATTAGAATTTAAATTTTGACATGCCTCCTAATCAATATAAAGAATTACTGAATAAAAGATGTAGTCGTAGATGACCTTTTAGTAATGCGAAGAGTTTTGATCATGTAAAATGATGGAATTTTTTATGACGTATAGTCTTCAACGCTCCTTTGCTGAACGAAATTTCTTTACAACTATCTGGACTATATATTTCGATTAAGCGTAGAGAATAAAACTTTTTATATTTGACTGAATGCTTGAGAATAAAATAAGAAAAGTTATTAACAAGTTTTGTAACTGTATAGTTACTTAATTTAAACTAACTTTATACAAATATATCTGATAGAAATTGTCGTCGCAAATGAGTAGTATAATTCACATAAATCATCGGGAAATAAGCATGGAAAAGTACATTTATACTTCGTGTGTATACGGCCAAAAACGAAATAAAACATATCGTTTTCACACACATAATGGCACAAATACAAAGTATGGGGAAAGTGGAGAAAAAGCAGTAATTTCCACGCAAAACCAGTTTTTCACTCATCTCTCGAAAAGTAGACTTTGCACCAAAAAACGGACCGCAGATTTGGAATCTACGTGCAAGAACGGACCAGAATATGTATACTATCTTCTTCTAAACCGGACGAAAAATGGTTTGCCTGATTCTTACTAAGAATCAGTTACTTTTAAAACGCGTTTGTGTAAATTGGACCAGACTAGCGTCTTGACATCTAAAAATCAGGCGATTCTGTTCAGATTTTCCTTCTGTTCAAGCTGCTGATGTAACGACGTTGCCTACTACGAAAAGGAGTTAACAATCTACTTTTTGTGCCCGGCGAGAGCATACAAATGATTTCTATACAAGTAATTGTAGCGTTTCTTAGTAGCAGTCTTGCTTTTTTCTCTCGAATTTAATATAATTGATATTTTATATCTGCTCTATTTTGAACAAGTATACTGAACTGAAGTAACAGCAGTGCTTGATACAAGCTTAGATGGATATTCTTTTTGTCTTTCTGTTCGTTCACACGATAAAATAGAAAAAGAGAAAATGGAAAGAAAAACATATATATTCAGAACGAAAAAAAAGAGAGAAAGTAATAAAAGGCGTTAGTTTCCACGTAAAACCAGTTTTTCATCTATTTTTCGAAAACTAGACTAGACACAAAAAAATAGATGCCGGATTCGGAATCTACGTGCAAAAACCGACCAGAACATGTATACGATTTCCTTCGAAACCGGACGAAAAATAATTTGCCTGATTTGCTATGGGAAAGGTTTGAAAACGCGAAACCTTTGGTCAGTCTCAAGATACACTGGAAAATTTTCTTTATTAAAGCTAATTCCACCAGCTGTTGGCAGGAACTGGTATGTTGACGGCAACGGTTTTTGTTCTTCAACGGTTCTTTTTTAATAAAAACTATCCCTAAACCACATGTACAACCAACGTTTGCCTAAAGTTTTGAGCGAAAAACAAACAAAGCTTAATTTTTTGCAAAACCATACCCTGTCTCGGTCAGATTGTAAACATCGATTTTGACCTTAGACCAGAAAGTTTGGAAAAATTAGAAATTTTAATTTCATGAACTAGAAAAATTATTAGTACGGACAAAGTGACCAAAGATGAATTGGCAAATCGCAATATTTGAGAGTAAAAATTATACAAAAATTCGCATTTTATCATTGTTTTGCGAATTCATAATTCAGTGCGAACTGATGCGAACTGACAAAACTGATGAAAAAAGAACCAAAAAGGTGTCTCTTTCGTTCCTCTTGCCAATCCGTAAACTGGGACAAATTCGTAGGCAAGAAATTTCGGATACCCACGAATATGTAAATCGAATTGATCGACTATCGACGAATTCGTGAAATGATCTTTCTGGTCCCCAAGAATTCGTATACGAATTCATAAATTGGCAAAAATACGATAAAATGTGAGTTTACGGATTCGTAGATACCAAAGCATATCCGATGAATTCGTAAATAGAATTCGTCCATTCGCATACTTCTCAGCAAATTCGTCATAATTTTTTCGAATACGTAAAAATGCGAATTGATATCAACGTCAAGAAATTTTTCTATGAGGTTAAAAATAGATAGATTCGTCTCTTCGCATCGCTTTGCATAGTTCTCACCTCAATTCGCCGTTATTTTTATGAATTCGTAAAATACGAATTGATATCAAGGACAAGAAATTTTTCGAGGAACGAATCTATCTATTTTTAACCTCATAGAAAAACTTTTTGCCATTGATATCAATTCGCATTTTTACGAATCCTTAAAAATAACGTTTGAACTATATAAAGCATTAAACATTGCTTTACCAGATTCCGAAGCACAAAAACCATTGAATACAAATCCCAGTAAATGCTTTACTCACTTAAATATTGAAACTATATTGAGCTTGTCATTTCAAAAAATATTAAGCGCTGACAATTTTTTACTTGGGATGTAGTAAAATTTGTTAAAATAACATTTAGCTATTTTTATGTAACGGATGATCCATTTTATTTGAAATGGAATAAGTGTAAAATTCATGTGCTAGGAGCATTCATTCTATGCCACCTTTAAGCCAAATTAGTTGGCTTTTAGAGTGATA